CCTTTAAATCATTCATGTATTAACTTATTTAATAAATAAACAAACGTCGTTCACAAGTTTTGTACCTAATGCATTTCAATAGACGAAATTCGAATACAAATTTACACCTTCTCGAATTTGTATAGAGTTAACACAAGCAATTTATTTCTCAAGGCCTGCAAACAATATAAAACTATCGGGAGAGCTGTTAGCGAACTCTTGTATGAACAAAGAGAGGATCGGCTAACGGAGTCCGCGATATTCACTAACTGTTTCAGAATGCTCCACTGCTTCGGTAACTTTAAAATTAATAACAAAAAGTTTGTCGCCTAAAAGGTTGTTTTTGATCCGCAAATTGAATTTGGATGTACATCGCGGAACTAATTACGTTTTAACCGCCTCCTAGATTCAATTCTAATATTTGTTCTTTGATTTTACAGATATTACATTTACATAGTCTACAAATAACTTATTTTTATAATTAATAAAGTTTAACTTTTATGAAACATTATTCTTTAAATGTAATGTGTATAATATAATAAGTAATTGAGTTCTATTAAATTAAAGAGATTGTCCTATAATGCATCATTTTTCAGACGTAAATTTTAATACCTTATTACAAGTAATAAATCCGACCGCCTCCGGATAATCGCCGAGATTAAGTCAGAGCTGAGAAATAACTGAGAGAAGGTTGCCTGAGATTTTAAAGCAGTCTCTTTCGATAGTACTTACAAAATTATATTTCAACTTAATCTCTTTGTTATTGCTGAAATGAAACTTATTTTCATTAAGTCTTTGTATTTTTCTTTATAATCAGGGTATCTATTGTAGAATTAAGTGTAAATTATAATAATAAATTAACTAATAATGTCTACTATTCAGTAATTCTAGAGACTTTCAATTCCATTAAATGTCCATTTAGTCCATTTTGGGTGACAAAGAACAAACATCCATCCATCTTTACGAACCTCGTTTATATAAGCAGTAGCTGCATTCAACTATAAGGAATCTTAGTTTATATGCAATGAAATTTACAAGCGAGAGTTTAATTTAATTTCCCAAAATAGTAAAAACTTAATATATAAGTGGAATGGAAGTAATGATCGGAGATTGTGAACGAAATGTGACCAACGCTAACTCGGTTATAAGTTAGATGGTTAAGAGTAACCTCTTCCTTATTTTATTATAACATTGGAGTGGAGCTGTCGATTCGCGTCTTGCGGGTCACTTGCGATGGAGGTCCGTAATTTAATAAGCGACTCCCTCAAAATTAGTTTGTCTTCCAATACATAAGAATGTGTTACAAATTCCATTAATATCGTTAGAGACGCTTTTTTGGTTTGTTGAACACGTCACACGGGGGGGGAGAAGTTACGCTGTTTACTGCGGTAGTTAATGTAATAAAGAACCCTATATGTAATTATAAAAAGTTATCAAAAGTCGTGGTAGCGTAGAGGTTAAAGGTCCGCTTTTCATGTACGAGAGAACGGGTTCTGAACTAGCCAATGTCTTATTTCGAATCATAGGTATTTTCTAAAAGTATTTAGATACCACTGTCATACGGTGAAGGAAAACATCGTGAGGAAACCTGGACTTATAATTTCACAATTATAAGTTTGAAATCGCCAATCCATCTTGAGCAAGCGTGGTGATCAATGCTCAAACCTTCTCCATGTGAGAAGAGGCCGTTGCTCAGCAGTTGGCTTTGATAGGCTGATGATTTTGATAATGATGACAAAATGTAATTATTTTCTCATTTTAAATATTATTTCTACATATCTTTCTGCGGCAGAAAGTCAAACATCAAAGGTCATTGTTAACAGTAAACCGATACTTATTTTGATATTCAACGTATCGTTTTCTCTCAGAAGTAAGATTGTTTAAAATGTAACACTTGTACAAAATTTACTATTTATGAATGTTGAAATTGTTACCCACCCAAGAAGTCTAGAATTCATAAAAATTGCTTCTGAATTTTATAAGACCTATTTTCAGCATATTATTTCAGTCTAGAACTTTTTTATCTTACTTGTAATTTGTACTATACTTACTATATAGCTTACTTGTACTGTTTTAATATAAAACTTTTTAATGCTCAATAAAAACTAAGTTTATTTTCAAGACTCATACATTTGAATACTTTCATTAAGTATAATTATATATTAATAAAAACAAAGCGTATGTCTTCTTTATCTGTTCTAATAAAAGGAATTGATTAGGTAATCTTTTAAATCGAAACCAGTGGTAGTGAAATAATAAATGATTCTATTAAAAAGTAAATGAAAACAACTAACTACAAGCTGCATCTAGGATAAATAAGACACGCCGCCATTGTTCACAGATAAGCGTAGCATTCCGAAGTTGCTTAGAAATTTAACAAAGACTCAGAAAACCGATGCACTTACAGTAAGATAACAATAATTTCAACTTGTTATTATCTAGGAAAATAAATATAGAATGCGGTGCAAAGCAATTGAAGATTTCAGGGTGTAAAATTGATTGTGTGATATTTAAATGAAACTAATATTTTCGGATTTGCTACGCGATTTTACGCGACAGTAGCCGAAACCTTAGGGAGTATGTAATTTATAGTCAAAAATAAATTCGCGCAGTAAATCTGAATAATATTAGTTTCATTTAAATGAATACTAGCGAAAATCTTAGATCTAATTATTGTATGATATTTGTTTAAGAATACATACGTATGTGTGAAACGATTTTTTATATCCGTACACTAGATTATGATTCCAGCCATTCAGTCATTACCCAAGCCAAGGGTTATTAAATTTCAGTGATGCTTGCGGTCTCCTACCCTCGTACATAGCCTGGAGCACTATCGCGTACCCAAAGTGTTCTTTGATAATGTGACATTACACCTCGTGAAAAGGTTCAATTTCAAATGGCATGTCATAATGTTTCCACGAATTAAGTTATTGGAAAGTTCTTTCAAAATATTTCCATATATCGTCAGCGGTTCGTCACATAATATTTGGCAAGAGTAATTTAATTTGTGGAACATATTTTCCGGCATTGTTTATATAACTTCCGACGGTTTAATTAAATTGTGAATACAATTTATGTCTTTTCTGATACGTCCTTATGACAAATTGGACTTTATGGGCCCAAGATATTCCGTTTTTGTCGTATATACATTTTTACATTTACTTTTTAGATGTTCTTGTAAACAAAGTGGTCAATTTATTTAAGATATTGTCAGGCTTTTGTTATTTTAGATGTCAAATATATATGTAAAAAACGCGCAACACAAATAAAAAAGTATGTTTATATACCTATTATCCATATTTGCTGTGCTTGAAATTAGAAGTTAGAGAAGGTATCTTGGATATGAAATGTTGACGTGTATTAAAGTAATAATCATCAGCGTTTTGATGGACCAAAGATTTTCCCTGGCGAAGACGCGACATTATTTTATAAAGCTATTATTGTAAAAAAGTTCTCTAATTTAATTAGAGAAGATGGCTGGCAGCTATCTAACACTTACTATGAGTCTATATCCAGAGCAAAAAGTTTGATAATTTATAAGCTGTTGGCGCTAAATAACAAAAACGAATTTAATCTTGACCATATTTGATAATTCCATACAAATTAATTTACTTAATACTTGCAGCTTCTTACTTATTATAAAAGTATTGTAAACGGTTACTGTTTTGAATAAAACTAGACCGTTAAATATTTTAACATTTTAATGTAATACTAAACAATATTTTTTTTATAATTTTGCATTACGAAAAGACAATTATAAATAAAAAAAGGCAGCAAACAAATCTCAGAGGAACTTAACGTTTTAAGAACTTTCTCATTATTGTACTTAGGATTACAGCCTCTATATTCATTACAATAGGATCTAAATTTCTATTCATGAAATAACAAAGAACGGGGGATCGTCTTTGATATTATGAAAAATAAACCGTAGAAATTAAATTTTCCACGTTCCTGTAGTGTTACTTGTACTCAGTGCTTTATAATTACTGCCCATGAAAAAGAATCGGTTATGAATTCACCGTCTCACTCTCGCCATTCTCGACCTACATCAGAAACTTGTTTTGCTTTTCAGGCCAAGAGGGCTAAGGACGGCGAAAATCTACATACATCTAAGTTTTCTGCTGAGTTTCGACAAATGTTACTGTATATTTAATTTTAATACAAAGTCTGCCGGTCGTCAACAAACGACGTCGAAGAATAGCTCTGTGTAAACTAGGTGAAAATGCAAATGCAAAAGATAAGTTAACAAAATGACGTTTCCCTTTCAGAGACATTCAGACAATAAAATTTTCAAGCCATTGCACACAGAGAGTCGTTATACGAATATGTGTGCAAATGTCTCTTTATTTTATGTTTTATTGTTGTCAGTTTCGACTTTGGTAGTTGTTATGTGTGTAAGTCATTATATAATTGAATATATGTAAAGCTTTTAGATGGAAACAGTTTTTACATAATGCTAGAACATGAACATAAAATGTGTAATGGTAAAGACGATGTGGGTAGAAATGTTTGAAAATTTTACACTGTGAGTTACATGTGAGTGATTAAAAAAGTATTTAATTCTAAAGCAAAAGATATATACTATATCAACTGAAATTCAATTGAAATTATGTAACTTCATGTCACGTCATGATTCGAATAAAAAAAAATGTTAATTAATTAATTATTATCAACAATGTAAAGTCGATAATCTCTTGTAGATATTTTTTTTTTATAATATTTAAAGATATTGCTTTTGCCTTATTTACAACAAAATTTGAGGAACAGGATCGCGTAGTGTGAGCTGAAAGTGATGAATATCTTTGTCTCTGAAATAAATTAATGCAATCAATAAAATCTATTCAGTAGTGAAAACGAAACTGTTTGGTTTTTTCACCACTAACTAAACTTATTAAGACCGTATTATAACACACTCATTAGCTCAGTAAAGCGATATAAGGTTTATAAATTTTGTGGTCATTGAAGAATTTTGTTTTTTTAAAACTACAAAAATATAACTTTAATAATTTTTGTTACAGACTGGAAAGCACTTTCACCGCACGTCACTGCTTATCAAAGCCTTCAACCACAAGTTCCGTCTTGACCTCGAGCTTAACACGTAAGTATCCAATATAAAAAACTGTTGTACAAGATTAGCAATGTACAACATTTTGTACACGGTCATTATAACATCCAATTATATAAGCCGGAACATTCAAAGTACACTTAAGATTTCTCGCTTTTTATACACGGATCATTAAGCATATTTAATAATGTGAGAACAGACGATTGTTATACACAGTAGACGCAAAATAAACCCCACTATTAGAGATATTCCCGAATGTGAAATTCATTTCTCGTATGATAATTCGAATAATAAATCATAAACATGAAGGCAGCACTTAACGCTCAGACACGCTCCTCCGGCTTATCATAAAAATGAAAGAAATCTAAACAAATGATTCTTAGCATTGCTCTCTGGCTCATGCAGGTTTCGTCCTATTCGCTCACACTCATACATTTCCCTATTTCCCTCTCTTTCCCATGGACTCTCGCAACTTCCAAATTCGATGATGTGATATTTCATTTATAAGATCTGAGGAAAATTTTGTTTACAACTCCAAGTGAATCGTTTATTCTAAGCAAAAGTTTTCCGTAACAAAGCCGGTACAATAATACACGGAAAGTTCATTCAAATCTTTGAGGAACTTTATATTTCCAGCGAAAGGTCACTTTGCTGTTTTGGACTAATTAAAATTTCACTCGTTAATTTTAAGTTTTGACGGCTACTACAGATGCTACGCTACCAAAAACGTGTCCGTACGAATATGTTGAATAATATATTACAGTTTATTCCTCTCGAATATAAAAATATGTGCAGTTGTTCCTAGATATACATCTATTAGCATTTGGTACTTTTTGTATTGAAAAAAAATTGCAATTAATCAAATCCTTGCTGAAGACATTTTGTTCGTGTTTTAAAAAGCACGCATCACACCAGCATGCATAACAAACGCTGTAACCGCTGTCATCCAAGAATAAAAACGAATTTAGTGGACTCCGTACGGTATTCCAGTTTTAACACAAAGAATATGACAAAAAGTAAATTTACACTCAACCTAAAAGGAAACTTGGAATAAAAAAGCGCTCCAGCGCTGTACAGAAATGCAGTTTTTTACGGCTTTGCAGAAATTTGATTGGCGCACAAAGAGCGCTGTATGCTTACCGCGTCATCCTCGTAGGTTTGTTTTTACGTCCTATTAATGAAGTTGTCGCTGGCGTGGTATTGGATTGGTTCCAAGCACATGCACTTTGACCCTACACTCTTTTGAATCAAATATTCTTTATGACCAGAACTGAGCTTCTTTCGACGTGTACAAAAAATTAGCGTTGCACCAATAAAACGGGAAAAGACTGAAGAGATATTTCATATTCAGAAACTTGTTTTCAAATCGAACAATTTTTCGTCTGAAAAGAGATATCGATATAAAAGCAATACAATCAATTAATTGTTTACACCGCAGTACGATAAAAAGTAATATCAGAGCATTAGTGAAATGAAGACTTACAAGATGAGCTTTGAATTGGAAAACCGTGTGGAGGTGTGGAACAATAGATTGTAGACTGGGGACGGATTGATTTCAAAGGTGTACTTTGACGAGTGTAATCCAATTTGAAGTTCTTGTCTTCGGAGATGACAATTGGAATGGAAGCTATGTATTGGGATATGATTTCATTATTTGAGTATTTACGTGCTGTTTAAATGTTAATTTTAATTAATTTAATTTACTATGTAGATATATTTATATTTGATCCTGCGCATTCAACTTTGATTAAAAAAATAGGTTTGAAATCATCTTTTCGATATTAAATAAGAATATAGTTAATCAGCATTTTTAAGAAGATTTATAATATAATCATATTTTATTTCAGTAAAACATTGTAAAATTTATTACTTTTAATAGAAAAAAAATTGCTTTAAGTTAATAATCCAGTCATTTGTTAATAAAATTCTGAAAGTTATTTATATTATGTCCAGAGTCAGGTGACTAAAGTTCCAAGTCTTCGTAATAGTATACATATACATACATACGTCTGCATCCCTTCCTGATATCGATATATCGAAGTAATTTGTAATTTGCGTCATCTTAAGTCACCCCAACATCGACACACAAATCCCTTGGATTCGTTACCTAAATCAAGCCTCAGCAGAAACAGCTTAAAAACGTCACCTCGGATTTCCCTCGACTCATATTTTCCCTTGGGCGGTAATTTCGTGTTATGTACCATCTTTCCTTCCAAATTTATCCGTAATGCGTAAATATAACAACCTACTTAGATTGTCCCTTTTCGATACTCGTGGAAATAATAAATAAAAAGTGAATTTTTACGACCATTCGTTGGGATTCTTTTTGCCATAAATTTTACATATGCCTCCTTGGTTTTGATGTCTCCATAAAACTAAAACTGTGATTGATATGTCACTAAGGCTGACTAATATTACAACAATGATACAAAATCATGTAAATGTTTGTTTTCCACAAATTTAAATTGTTTGACAAGTGCAAACGAATTTATTATTTCATATACATCATAAACTTTAAGGAGCAAGAATTTTGGTTAAGGTAATTAAGAGAAATTAATAAACAGAGCTAGTATATATTGTAAAATTACAAGGAACACCGAAAACCTAATTTTATAGAAAATTAATTTGATAAACCATTTCATTATAACACATTAATTAAATAAATATCCTATCAATATAATGTTTATTCAAATTAAGATTATATATTATATGCAAAATATTAATTTTATGGTCATTACAACTGTACAAAATATCACAAACAAACCATTTTTCATTGATAATGACGCTCCGAAACGTTCCGTCATCGGAGTAATGTATTTTTAATTGAATTTTATTACTAAATTGATTAATTGTCAGGCTGGGTGCCGGTGGAAACGAATAGTAATTTTATTTAAAACAACAGCTATATGGAAATCGAGTCAGTACCGACACAGAATTATGTCCAGACACGGGGAGATTAAGTATCATACATTCAAAATTCCCTTTGATATCATACTACTTATAAATTAACATATTTTAAATCAGATAACACATGAAAAGGTCGAGCGTTTGACGACTGTATTGAAATCTAAATACGTACGAGGCTTAATAATTTCAAACTTGCTAAATTTTCCGATGTGATATTTCAAATGATATTTCTCATTTACTGTTAGGAAACGCGCTAATAACGATAATCACTAACTGAAAGGTCGTTCGTATTATTTCGATTACATTGTTAAAATTTAATAAGCGTTCCTGTTATTTTATACATACATAATATATACATACAAAATAGGAGATTCGGATAAAATTATCTTAATGTTACTATAACACAATTGATGGGTAGGGTAAATAAGTTTTTACAGAAGAAATGTATTTTTTATAAGTGTTCGATCTATACAACGAAAATTAGAGAGAGACAAGATAAACAACACCAAAATAAGTACATATATTGTCTTTAACACTATTGAAAAATATTGTCAGATACTGATGCTCATAATAATTCTGATAAATAGTAAAACTTCTTAGTGAATTTTATATAAGAACCTCCTTAGTGATACGCTACTACATTATATTCTTAGTTTTAACACATTTAAATGTCTCTGTATTATTTTAGATGAATCACTTTTATAAACTTAATTATATTCTGTTTAAGATTTGGAAAAACAATAACTATAAAAAGTAAAGTGTCGTGTAGATTCTATGAAGTGTACTTTACGAGGACCGCTAAATACCGCTCGAATGTAAATGCAGCCATTAATTTAATTTTCCACTTTCACAAAATCGTTCGGATCACACGACGTGATTCAGACATTTTATCGTCTAAAATTTGCATAATTGCGTGAATTGTTGGCGTTTTTTTATGATATAACTGCCGCAATATTTGTCTAAATTTCGTCGTAAAAATGTTGTCCGTACTAATTCATGGCTATTCAAAATTTATTTCTGCTTTTTAAGTTTTAATTATGAACACGGGTCGTATCTACACAGGCCGATGGCCATATTAACTCGTTATATCTAAATTCAATACACAAAGCGATTTGGCATTCACATAATGGCTTATTAAAAGTTTCAACCCCTGTTTGCAATTGACCTACAAACTGTGAATTTCATATGTCATGTCGTCCCACTCGCTCTTGTGTGCTATTCATATCTGCGTCCTTGTTGTATAGAGGTTGGACCCTCAAGTTTTAATTACCATTGCAATGCCCGGGAGCTATGTTTAATATGGAAGTACATCGTGGAAATTCTTTCTTTGCTCTCTGCTTGCTATTACTGAAGGCTTTTTTTTTGGACATGAAATAAAATAAAATTTACAAAACACTTCCGCGATGAAGCACTTTAAAGATTTGAACAATAGAGGAAATTAAGTGAGTTTCTTTTTAAGAATTGCATTTCTCTAAATAAAAAAATCGGAATTTATTTTTTTATGTCTCAATAGACGAATGAGATGAGTATTTTAATTATCATAAAAATATATTTCTGGCATCCGGGAAATTATTCAGAAATAAAAAAATATCAATAAAAAAATAAACTATTGCGTAAATTGCTAGCATATCATTGTTTTTGCTAATTTATATTTAAATGAGAAAACACTTTGATAAAAAATAAACCGAGGTATAAAATCAAACTGTAACATTTGAAACGATTTTCATGAAACAAACATCATGTTACAAATGATTGGCTAATTAAGCAAATAAACGGATTGTTTTTGTAATCAGAACGGAAATAAATATATAATCCAAATACTTATGTATGGATGTAAATATCTCAATTTATCAATTTACATACCGTGATCAAATTTATCATACGATTATTTTTTTATAAATGCTATCAATTTATATTAAAAATACAATGAATGGATGGTGCATACAAAACTTTGTACCACTCTAGATGAAAATCTAACTGTCCAAAAAATATTCTTATCGTGTAGGAAATGGCTACCTTTTCTTACAAATTTGATATAAAACTCAGTAGAAACTAATTAACTTGGTTATAATTATAGTAAGACTGGCTATTGTCCGTGACTTTTTTCGTGCAGAATTTTGAGTGAA